ACAGGGCCACAAGCATGGCAAGACTGTGGGTTTGACCTCTACATGTTAGAGCTCTGTGCACAAGGCCCTCATCCCACACCTCTTCATGTGGTGTGACCTGCAGGTGTTTCCACTGGTCCTTAGCACTGTTCTTCATACCTGAAATATAAAGTATTCCCAACACCACAGATCAACCTGCCAGCACTTGTCCTGTACATCCCTCTTTTAGGCCCCTCTCCTCCCTGAAGACAATCCCATGGCTTTTCATGTGTGTCAAGCTCAGGCTTTAAAACCACCTGAGAAGGTAGAAGAATTTGGCTCTCTAGCAGCTAGAAGCACATCTGGGCTTCCAGGCAGGAGCATGTGAAGGTGAACTGCCCCATTTCCTTGTGGGGCTCAGGGAAGCCTGAGGGGATCCAGGTCTGGGACTCTCCAGCATTTGTGAAATCTTCACCCTCCCAGCTGCAAGTCCAGGTTTTGCAGTGTGCTGTTCACATGGGTCTTGTTGCCAAGTAAGTGGTACCCTTGGTGTGCTGCAGTGCTCTTCTGCAAGGGAAGTAATCAGTTCTTCCCTTTAAACTGCTTCCTACACAGCAGTTGCGGGAATAAATGGTTCCTGTAACTGCGTATCTCACGGAAAAACTGCTCCTGTTGACCAGCCCAGCCAGGAGCTACCTTTGCTTGTTACTTCTCAGAAAATACCAGGCCCCCCATCTTGCTGCTGGCTCTCAGCAGCAAGGCTAGCAGAGGGACTGTGCTGCCTGTGGGGGACAGCCAGGGCTGTGCAGCAGGGCCCAGAGCACTCTGTCACGTGTGACATCCTGACTGGGGTGTGCAACACTGGGGCTCAGCATCACCACTGAACCCAGGACCCTGGAGGGGCAGGCAGGAAAAGTCTGGAAGGAGGAATATGAAGTCCAGAACTGGCTGGGCAGAAGAACTAGGGCCCCTACAACCCTTTCATGCTCACAGCCTTGGTTTGTCTCCCTTATCCAGGAGTGAAATGAAGCGCTGGATGATTTCACTAGCCCCAAACCGGAGAACCAAATTTGTTTCATTTACATCCAGACTTGTTGGTAAGAGACACAGCATGGGAGCTTTTCACCCCTACCACAGGGCACCCTATTCTGCCTGATCTCAGTGCAGCCACATATCTGGGACCTATGCCAAAGCTAAACCCTCTCCCTGGGCTCCTCTCCTTTTCCACTATCAAGCCCAGAGCTTGGTTGACATCTGGGCCTGGCCCTGACCTCAACTCCTCAAACCTGGGCTAGGCTACACCAGCACTCTCCCTCCCATCCAGGCTGCTCATGGCTGGCTGCTCATGGCTGGCTCTGTGGTGGTGACATTGGGCTCCCTTCCCAAGAGTTGCTTCCTTGGTACCTGTGGTTGGGGCACTCCCTGGCTTCCCCAGAGGCCCTTAACAGATCAGAGGGACCATGTGCAGAGCTCATGGGGCTACAGCCACCCAAGCTGTGCTGTTCTTCAAGGGGGTCCATCCCAATCCACCTCTCACTCTCACCCTGTTCCTTGGCAGACTGCCCACAGATCCAGTGTGTCCACCCGTACGTGGCCCAGCAGCCTGATGAGCTCTCCTTAGAACTGGCTGATGTCCTCAACATCCTGGACAAGACAGATGATGGTATGGGGATGGGATGGGGATGGGCTGGGAGTCCCTGTGGAAGGATGGGCTTTGCTGCAGGCAGGCAGCTGTGAGTCTCTCCCTCCAGCCAGGGAGAGGCTCTGGCATCAGCATCACAGCCAGAGAAGAAAGTTATTGCCTTCTCCTAATTCCTTAAGTTGTGGCAACATTGGCACAGCCTCCCAGCACCAGCTGTGGGCCATGGTTAAGCTAGCACAGCCACCCCAGATAGGGGCAGCAGAGGGCACTTGGTGGCAGCAGTGCCTGCTGTGTCTGCTGACATCCCTTGAGCCAGTTGTCCTCACACAATGCTGCTCAGGTGAGCAGACCTGATGTTCAGCCTGGGTCTGCTCCAGCACAGGCCTCTGAGTAGCTTCCAGAAAGCTCTGCCAGCTCAAATGGCTCTTTCCAGCACAACTATCCCAGTGCAGGAGCAAGGGCCAGTCCTTCCCCACTTATGCCTGTCTCTGTCTGTGCTCAGGCTGGATATTTGGGGAACGTCTTCACGACCAGGAGAGGGGCTGGTTCCCCAGTTCTATGGGGGAGGAGATCCTGAACCCCAAAATCCGAGCCCAGAACCTGAAGGAGTGTTTCCGGGTGCACAAGTCAGATGACAGTCAGAGAAGGAAACTGGGCAGCAGAAATCGCCAGTGACCACCAGCATCCCCAAGCTTCTGGAGTGCCTCAGAGAGGCAGAAGACAGAGGCTGCCTACTGGGAGGAGGTGGCAGCTGTGGGACACTGTGGGGGACCTGGTACAGACAAGGCACACACACCCATGAACAAACAGACTGTCGTTCCTGGGCCCCCTGGCAGCACTGGTCCTTTCCTGGAGATCAGCGCTTTAAACTGTAAAATAACCCCTTTTCCAAGTGTTCTGTACAGCCCCAAAGAGCATGAGCTCAACAGACACTGCCCAGAGGCCACTGGGTGCTGGCCAAATGAGCCACATGTGCTGGCTGCTTGGGAAAGGCAATGGCCACAAACATCACTGAGCAATTAATATCACCCAGTTTAAGCACTAAAAGCTCATTGCTACCTTCCAAGTCTGGAGTGCTCTGAACCCAGCACCTCACAGGTCAAGCAGTAGACTCAACTGTCTCTCAAGAGCTCATTGGCAACAGGCTGGGATAAGCCCCAGGACCTCCACCACCCTAGTCCTGCTGTGAAGCCGCTGGGCTCATTCCTACAGGGAGACCTCAATCTGCTTCCAGTCAAATGCTCTCCAGTGCTCCACACCCAGCTCTTCTCCAGCAGCAGCCCAGCCTTGCCAGCCCTGACCTATGTCTCTGCCTGACAACCTCGAAGCACATCTGGGCCCAGGACCAGAACCCTCTTCCACAGCCCACCTCCTTCTGTAGGGCCACTACAGAACCCCTGCATCATGGTCTTTCCTGGTTGATTGTGCTCTTGTGGTCTTTGCTACTCCCTGCTGCCAAGGCCAGAGCAGGGGTGGCTGTGCCAGGGCCGTCTCACACACCACACAAGCCACAGGAGCACCAGCAGCCCCAGGTGCCACACAGCAGGTGAGTGACCTTACCTGGGAGCTGCTGTCCTGCGTGCTCTGGGAGGCCCAACAACCGCTGCCTGCATGCTTGTAACCCACCCCCATCAGCCTCCCTGTACAGGCTCACCTCCATGTAAATATGCAAGTCCTGCGGCCAACAGAGCCAGCTCATCAACGCATGAAGCCCCGGGCACAGCACTGAGAGCAGCCTGGGGAACAGACCCACGGCAGCCACCCCTTGTTCAACAGTCCCACACGTGGCTGAGGGCCTCTCAGCCCTCAAGCTGGGCCCAGCATCCATTAGGAAAATCAATTATTTAGCACCTTTCTGTAACACAGCAAAGGATTGTCTTCCAGGCATTGTAGACTGTGCTGATGTATGCTCTGGCCGTGCCACAGTTGTGCTCAGAAAGGGGACAGAGAGCAGCTGCTGATGGAGCCACGCAGTAGCCATGGGCATGGACAGAGTAGCACAGCCATGCCAGCAGGAACATGGGGAGAAAGCAGGATGCTTGGAAGGGAGGCTGCAGAACTGCTCTTTGGACACATGGGGTGTGCAGTGTGAGGCCCAAAACAGCTGAGATGAATACCAGGGCTGTCCCTACTGAAACCACAGCAGTGCGACAGTCAGCCCAGAGCCAGCACCCAGGACCAAAGTGGTGGGAGCCACAGCACTGAAAGGGGACAGAAGGCATTCTTCACTCAGGCACAGATCAGTGCCACCATATTAAGCATGTGACAACAGCCAGCAGGGCTGTGCTGCCTTGCCCACCTGTGGGAATTTCACACTAGCCAGTAATTCCCAGTCACTGCCCAGCCCCAGAGCTGGGCCAGGAAGGACTTGCAGCCTCCAATCTGGTGCATTGGGCAGATTTAATGAGGACACCCCAAGCCAGGTCCCTCCGGCAGCACTCCACAGTGTGCTTTCTGAGACAACCAAACTTCCAGCTCAGGATCCAAACTTTGCAACAGCCACAAATTCACTAGTGCAAACCCCAGAGGAGCTCCAGCTCTAGGAATTTCTTAAAATTACCTGAGAAATCACCACATCTCACATCATCCAGCTTTGCAGCTCAGCAGCCAGCCCAGTCCAGCACAGGACCTGCAGCCCCATGTGCCTGCCAGGCATGTTTCTCGCAGCACAGAAATGCTCCCATCAGATGTTTCACCAGTTCCCCAGCGCTAGGATGCCAGTTCCTCAGTGCACTGCTCCAGGGAGAACGGCTCAGTGCTGCTGTGCCCTGTTCCATCACTCCCCACCACGCCCTGGGATTGCTCCAGCCCCTCCTGCTCCATTGCAATTCCATAGGACTCCAGACCCCAGGCACAGGCTGTGCCATTTTCAACCACTGAATGGCATCCAGTGTTATTTCCTCAGACCCAGCCCTGCACGCCTCCATCTCAGTGGTCTCCAGTGTTGTACAGGGCCAGGCCTGGGGCCCACAAGTACGGGCTGAAGCCCCATAGCCCTTGCCAGGCTGCCTCAGTGAACTGAGGGGAACTTCTTGTTGTCTCGTTTTTCTGTGTGATAAAATGTAGCTGAGCAAGCCAGCGCCAAAACACTTGTGTGTCTCCTTCCTCCCCTGGACTGATCACTTGTCTCTTCCCCAGTACCCTCTTGTGCAACTGGCCCAAATGCAGTGGGTGAAAATGGGGTTGCACATGAACAACCCTTCCCTAGGAAAGTTGTGCAGGGAGATGCCCAACACTGTTACCATCACCTAGACTAGACCCAGAAGGGCCCTTTTGAGCTCCCAGCTCAAAGCCACACACTGGCACAGGCTCCTCCTGCACAGGGTTGACAGGCCCTGCCATGTCTGTATCACCCAGGAGATAAACACACACACACACACAAACCAAGGGCAGTGAGCACTTGATGCAGCCTGGCTGCCCAGCACAGGGCCTGCAGTGCTCTTCCTGTTATCCAGGGCACTACTCCCCCCAGGGTCGCAGGCAGACAGTTCAGGAGCAGTTTATGGTTGGAGACAGCCCAGTTGTGTTAACAGAAAAATCTTTTATTGAGTTCAGGAGGCTGAGAACTTTCTCAGTGTGATGATGACCAAGGCCACAAGCACAGACGTACCCAGGAGGGAGGCGATGACAATGGCACCAATAGCTCCAGGCCCCAGCGAGCCTGCAGGAACAGAGAAAAAGACATGAGGTCAGCAAAGGCCGTGGAGCCCAGATGGCAAGGGCTCCAAGGATCACCCCACATCCAGCATGTCCCCAGGCATCAGGCCACACTCCTATCATGGAGCTCCCTGCACTGGCCATGTCCCATGTCCTCACACAACCCAGGTGTGGTCCTGTGCACCTTTGGGCAGGGGGCTGTAGCCAGCCACCACCATCTCAGCCAGCTCCCAGTGACAAGGACAGCTGGCGCAAAGTGGGTTGGTGGTGTGCAGCTTTCCTGCTAACACACCAGGAGAGTTGCTTTGCTTGTGGCAGAACCACATTTCAGCTGGTGCTTGCTATCAGTCAGGAGCCCCGAGCCATGAAAGGCACTCATGCTCCCTGTCCAGGGAGCTCCCAGCATGCTCTGTCCTGGAGAGCCCTACCTGCACTCAGGGCAGTTTTCAGGGCAGGTGCCTGCCATGACAGGTCATGGGGCAGGAAGAAATGTCTTGGAGCCATCTTGGGGCTGGCAAGAGCTCTGCAGCAGAGGCTTTTCAGCAGGGAAGTTTCCACAAGCAGGCAAATAAAACCCTCCCCAGCAGTGTGGCTTTAACCTCTCCTGGGAGAAGACAGGCCCACAGGGAGCAAATCCACCGTGAGGCCATCCCAGGCTGCCGCGGGAGCCAGCCGCGGGCAGTCCCTCTCGCAGCCACTCACCGTCCCCGGCGTCCAGCCGGTGCAGCTGGGTGGTGTCCTCGGGCTCCAGCTCCGAGGTGTACGGGGGGAAGGCAGTGGCGTCCGACAGCCGGGCGGGGTTGGTGGCAGCGTCGAAGGGACCGGCTCCGGAGGGCAGCTCGGGTGGCTCGTTCCAGAGGGTGGGAACCGGGTCCTGCGGGTACTCTGCTGGAAGACAAGCACCCCACAGGCATGGGGGGCCCGGTCAGGCTACTAGTGATAACCACAGGTCCCCAGGTGCCTGCCAGGTGCCTCTGAGGTGCATCAAGGGTGACCTGCACACTGAGAATCCCGGTATTGCAGAGGCGTCCTCTGAGGGACATCTCTGCTGAGCAGCCATACCCAGAGCAGCCAAAGGCAATGCTTCTGTGGCAACCTAGCATATACATAGCACACACGAGACAACACAGAATGCCCTGACACCCTGCAACCTCTGCTCATGCACAAACGGGCCCCACATGAACATCCACAGCTGGTTTGCTCATGGATGCCCTTGGGACTGGGCTGGGAAGGGCTGCCACACTGCCAAGAGGCAGAGGCCACCAGGCCACCTGTGCTGGCCAAATTCACAGCATCTCAGGGCCCTTTTGTCCTGCACCACCAGCCCATGCAGTGCAGGATGCTGGAGGTGCTGTCACAGCACAGGACATGGCTCCCCCAGACAGGACCCCAGAGCCTCGACTCCCCCCTGCTGCACCCCCGCCATACCGGGGAGATGAAAGCCCGGCTGGGTTCTGTTTAACATTACCACTCGTCTCCTGTTATTCCTTCCTGCCGTGGGTCAGAGACCAAGCCAGAGAGCCCTCCCTGTGTGTGGCTCACTGAGCACTCCCTGTCAATGCCCAGCCTTGTTCAGGTGGGCTCTGGCAGGAGCAGGAGACATTCCACAGCTCCCTGCTGAAACCACTGGGAATGTTGCACTGGGATGAGGAAAAAAGCAGGAGGGAGAAAAACGAACAACATTCACTGCCAGGGCCCACCTGAACTGACACAATGGTTATCAGGACTGGGAAATAGGGAGTCAAAAGCTGGAGAAAGCACACGGGTTCCCTGGGGCAAGGCACAGAGGTGCCCCAGGCACCCCAACTCTGGTGTGTGAACCTTGGTGTACCAGAGGCACTTAAGACTTGTCCCAGGCTCTCTGTAGCCCAGGAAGAGAGATGGCAACAGCACGTCTTGGCAGTGCCAGCCCCAGCTTTAATCGCCTGGAGCCCTCCTTGTCTCCTGCAGACAGAAGGCACTGTGGGAGGAGAGCAAAGAGTCCTGATTAATGGGCTGCACCACACTTTGTTCTCCCTTCAGATCCCCCCCTGGAACAGGAGGGCCAACACACTCACCTTTCCTGCTGGTACAAACCTACTGAGAACTTATTGCAGGGCTTGCATAGAAGAGTAGCTCCCACCATCCCCAGAGCTATTCCAGGCTGACCACAATCTTGGGAACACAGCAAAGTTCTAGACTAGTTTGGAAAGCTCTTTCTACAGGTGGAAAAGCTACAAGGTATCCAGCGAGACAGCTGCCAGGTTTAATCCTAGCCCAATGAGCATTGACAGAGACAAGTTTAAGTCCCCAGCGTTCAGCCCGTGCAAGTTAGACCCAGGCAGGAACCCAGTCAAAGCTAGGTGTAGCAGAGAACACACTGTCCTCACGCACTTGGTACATCCATGGTCTGTGCACCAGAGGTGGCATCTCGGCTCCCCTGTACAAGCACACAGATTTGTGTTCCACAAGAGCTCCCCACAAACACCCAGGTCTTTGCAGGGCCCTTCCCCTCCTGTGCTGCAAAACCAACCAGCAGAGCTGAAGACTCATATCCCATCCCATAGCTCTTCCAAAAAGTGCCATTTCCAGTGGACCTCTCTACTTTAAATCCTATGGTTTCACTGCGAGAGAGTGGAACAGGAGGAAATACAGAATTCATGTAGTTAATGCAGGAGAGAACCAAGCAGAGCTGAGCTATTTAGCTGGCAACAGTGGCATGGGAAAGCTGTTGGTTTATGAACAGACCAAACATACAGAATGCTTTGGAAGCCCCAGCTCCAGGCTGCTTTTTTAAGGGACAAACTCCATACAGAAGAGCCACACTCCAGCTGTGACCTTCCTGACTCTGTCAACACCCCCAGGACCAGAACCAACACTGCCACTGAACCCATCTGGCACAGCAACACAGTGCTGGGAAGAAAGTCTTGCTTCCTTTCCCAAGAACGTTTGTTTTTTTCTCCAGAGCTGTGCATTTGCCTTGTGTGTGACCAGGGACTGGTGTTAGTTCAGATGATCTGTAACAGATGCAGGCACCATCCAAAGGAGATTGTATGACCTGGGCTGGGCCTTCCCAATCCCCGCTCTCAAAGGGATGAGGAGGGAGCACTGTCTTCCAACCACAGGTGCCACCAGACCCAGAGGTGCCAGAAAGTCTCTCTTGTTCTCAGTGCTTCTAACTCCTGAAAAAATTTCTGGCAGCTCTCTTTAAGCAGGGCACAGAGCTTATTTTTGATAGCCAAATACAGAAGAAACAGTCTAATTTGTTTATGATCTCCATGATTTTTAAAAACTTGGATGGCTGCTGGACATGTATTTTGTTAATTCCCCTCATCAGACCGACACACACTTTCAGTTTGCCCACACAGAAAGGGCAGAATGTGCTTAACATGCATTTGCTGTCCTGAGTTCTTGTGGTTTTACCCTACCAGCACTTCAGCCCAGGGAAACACAACCCCTTTCAGTCAGGTCTGGTGCCTCAGGAACACTTGTGAGCTCAGAGGCAGCAGCAGATTCCTGCATACACATCGCATGAAGTACCTGCAGCTGAGCCTCCCCAGGAGCCAGGGCTTGATGCTGGTCCCCTTCTCAGCTCCTGCCCCTCAATGCTGCTGCTGCAGGTGCCAAGGGTCCTGCCGCAGGCACACAGGTGGGGGAACACAAAACGAGATGCAGGTTCCTCCAGCACCCATTGCTGCAGCCTGGGAGATCATCTGCTCATAACCAGCACTGTTCTCTCCACGTTTCTCCTTTGATTTTCCCTCCTAACCTAACAGCTCATGTCCTCACATGCCTCCACTCTGCCAGCTGAGAAACCCAAGCACCCATCCAGCAGGTTTCTTTAACAAGCAGAGGTTTCCCACCTGCTTCCCTGACAGTCCCAATGAGTGTCAGATCTCTAATGGACCCACATCAAATGCCACAATCCCATTTCAGTCCCTTGGTAAAAGCTAGTGATGGGAAGGACAGGGTTTGGGTCAGGTACCAAACCCCAGCACATGCACACTATTAATAAAGTCTCATGTCTCAAAGTGAGACACAAAGGCCTTTTCCAGCCACCTGTTAGATAGAATCTGGAGATTTTAAGTACAGGCAGGGGACCCAGTTCAGGAGGTTCAGTTCTCTGCTCTGCTACTGATGTTTTTTGTGACCACCACAAGTCCTGCTCCTCACAGGCTGAGTTTCTCTATGCATGAGCAGGATATCAGGATCTAAACATGATTTACAGAGAGAGCAGCACCAGAGTGGCCAGGTCTTCCTGCCCACACCATCGCCATCATTCTGACTGTGACAAGGAGGACATGGCCTGTGAACCTCAACAAATGCCTCAGTGACAGCTCTGGACCGAGCAGCAGCCTTTCCCAAGGGCAGGTTGAACGGAAGCTCCATGGCCATGGGGCAAGAAACAGAATTCTCAACGTGTAAAAACACCCAAACATGCTGCCATCTCCAGGGAGGGAGTGCAACCAAGAGCTGGAAACTTATTACTGAAGGTAAGGTAGTGCATGGCTTTCCTGTTCACCCAAGAACTTCGTAGAAATAAAGAACTAGCAAGAAACACATCATCCATCACAAGACCAGATGTTTAACATCTGGGAGAAAGCCATGCATTAGCTGTGCTGCCATCAGTCTCAGGACCAGTTCTACCTCTAGAAAACTCCCATGGTGCACTCACATGGTTTGCTTGCCCTGGAGGGACTTGGCAGGGGCAGCCAGGGGCACATGGAGGGGCTGCCAGGCTGCTGAGGCACACAAATGACCCACCACTGCCAAGGCTCTGTACCTCAGTGCAAGCTGTTCCGGAGAGAGGGAAGCCTCCAAGCTCTGGCACAAATGAGCTCTTCCCCAGCATTAGCTCTGTCTCAGCACTGAAGCACAAGCTGAGGGCAACTGTTGCTTTCAGACTAGCAGTAAAAGCCTTTTCATGAGAAACAAAGTTGGAGAACACCAAGGAGAACAACATGCAATAATCTTATTGGAGTTTTACTGGAGATGGAACTGGACAAAATGGACTAAAATTATTAGAATGTTTTGCAGAAGGCCAGGTGGATGATGGTAGTTCTTCCTTCCCACATGTTAACACTACAAATTGTCTTATTTTAGGGAAATCTCTTCGCTGCACTGTCTTCTCCCTCTCCCTAGCACAGGTTAGTTATAACTGAGGTGAGGAAACGGGAAGAAAATATCAGTTACCATAAGGAAATACATGATGAGCTTTCCAAGTGATGCAGGGGCCAGTGAAACTCCAGACACATGGGCTGTAGAAAGACCTACTGGGGATGATGGCAAAGGCAACTTTACAAAACTGCTATTTCCATGCTCAGAAAGAAGAAGGTGGGGTGAGCTGCCACCACAGTGACATGGTAGCCAGTACCCCAGGTACTTAGTGACTGGAAGAGTCACTACAAGTGACAGCCCTGGGGGAAGACAACCAGACCCTCCCCACAGGCCACCTGTAAGACCTTATGGGAGGCAGGTATGGCCATGTCACATCATTGCCCCTGGAGGTTACTTGCCACTGGCCAGTAGTCTTCACACAAGCTGACTGCAGCACCTCATCATCCTCACTCTCCGCCTCCAACCTAGCTCCTTATTCAGGAGTCAATACCAGCATTAGAAATTCATAAGGAGTACTGGAGCAGAGCAAGGTTGAGTAATGGCTTACAAAGTCCTGGTTTAAGTCTGGACAGATCTGCTGGAACAATGACATCTTTTCCTGAAATTTGCCAAACAAAACCTATTTACCACTATCCACGTTCTAATACTTAAGCTTTAAAAAACTTCCTAAAAATCTCCTATTCCCCTGCAGTTGAAAACAAACACACACAAGCTGCTACAGAAAGATGTCCCTGGTCAAGGTGTTTTCCTGTGTCTTCTCCTTTAGTGTGTGTGCTCTGTTGCTTTTTCCCCCAGACTCATTCTGATGTGCTACTGCAGTAAAAGAGATTTCCACATTACCTCAAAACAAGCTCATGAGCCCACATGTGAGTTCAAATACCAAATATACACAATTCAGAAGCCAGCACCTTGCAAAGGCTTTGTACTAACTTCCTTAGTTACTTACTTCCTTTGGAGCTCTGAATCCATTATAGGAGTTGAAACTAGGTTTGCTGATAAGGAAAAAAATAAAAATCAGCTCTTTATCCTCCTGTGCTCTACACCTACATGCCAGTTGGGTTTGGAGAAAGAAGAAGAGAAGGCTTAAATTTGCCACAGATCCTTAAGCTGGCCGGTTCCTGTTGCATCCAGCTGATGGGGACAAAAAGGGTTAATGATATGCTTGGTTGCTTCCCCACCTTTGACAAATGTGACCTTGGAAAGAGCTCAGTAAATAGGAGAAGTTCACACTTTCAACAGTTTGCAGAGCCCTGACCATGCTGTCCAGGAACTCAGACCAGCTGGGCAAGCAACCAAAAGAGAGAGGAGACTCATCCTGGGCATGGGGTCTGCATGACCAGCACCAGCTGCAGACCTCTCCCAGGCAGAGCCGCTCCTGCTTGCTCTGGAGGGCTCTGCCGGGGAGAGTCAGAGGTGCTGAGACGAAAGGGCAGGGGCTGGTGAACTCTGAGGCCAGCAAGGGGCTGTCCAGCCCCAGGTGGCCATGGCAGGCACAGGGCCAGGGCAGGGCTGAAAGAAGGCCTTCAGCAGCAGCACAAAGGGCAGCCTGTGGCGGGCAAGGCCAGAAGCTCCTGCGTGCAGCAACTGCAGAACTGCGGTTCTGATGGATGCTAAGTAAACTTGTTTACAGAAAGGCAGAGCTGTGTGTGTATGTGCTGAGACCAGAGGGCTGTCTGTGTGCCCTTCCCCTCTTTGTCTGCACCAGGCCTGAAATTTCCTTTCCTAATGGAGTAGAAGAGAAAAATTTCCACTGTTACTCAAAGCACCTGTACTGGGGGAAGGAACTCTCCATGTCTAATGCAGCAGAGACTCATTCTGCTCCTGGGATGGCTTACTGTCCAGGCTGGTTCCCTCCTGTCCTCTCTGAGGGAGCAGGGAACAACCTGTTAGAGGCCTTCAGTCTCAAACACTGCAGAGAAAGCACAGAATCCCTCCTACACCCCAAGATCTGGATGTCACACTCCCCGGTACAAAGCCCTTCAAGCCTCACTGCGTGACAACTCATCCAGTAACTGGATCAAGGAAACTTGGGAGAAGTGGCACAGGATGGCAGCACCAGGCACAAACCACAGCTGTAATGCCAGAGCAAGCACATCAAAAAGCTGGCAAGGAGCGGGGGGGGCAGAGCAAATGCACCAAATATCGGAAATTTAAAACAGCACAGAAGAGATCCCAGCTTGGAGAGGAAGCAGATTGAATTCTCACTTGAAATCAATCACTTCCTGCAGAGTGAAATACTGCTAATGATTAAGAAAAGACCTTACCTGGTATGGGGAAAGAGCATGGCCAGTGCTGCTGAGAGCAAGAGCGAGACACAAACTGAAACTGTGCTAAAGTGATTAATGTTACACTGTATAAAAAAAAAAGCTCACGGTTTAAGAAGGAAAATATCTATTTTTTAGTGCTCATGTCTTAGTTAAAGATTTCGCAGCACAAAGGTGTCCCAGAAGAAGATACCAGCTGCACTAATTCTATTCCTCCACCCACAGATGTTCCAGCCAGGCACTGCAGTGAAGTCCCCTACCCATATGAAAGCTCCTTTAAAAATAATTCCATAATTTGATCTCCTAGACAGCTGGCCAGGATCTCCCTGAGAAGAGGCAAGATGCTCAGAAGAAACTGGGAGAGAACTGCAAAACAATGTTACTCCTGGTCTTGGAAGGCAGGACAGGAATTTGGGAAAATAAAGGCTGTGCTTGTAATCTTGGTCCCAACCATCTCTTCAGTCTCGCCTCCACTGCAGGAAAGGCTTTGGGGGAAGCAATTCCTCGGTAGAGTTTCCACTTGTACACTCGGAGCCCATCAGTGCAGTGGGTATGGAAATCAGTTTTTCCCCAGCTGTAAAACCCACCTCAGAACGGCAGCTTTTGAAGCTGCCTGTGCCCACAGCTCCCTGCAGCCAGCACAGCTCTGCTGAAGGCAGTAGCAGATAAAATTGAAATTCATAAGAATCCCCAGAAAAACGGTGCCTTACACAACAGGCATCTCTCCCATTCTTCTGCCCATCACTTCACTGAGTGCAGAGCCAGGCACCTTCCCTGCACTGCCCTGGTGCCCCAGATCCAGAGCAACTCTGGAAAGATGCACACCTTGGCTTTGGGCTGAGGTTTTCACACACTTCCTTAGCTCTGCCTAAAGCAGCTGCTGTGCTCTGCTGTAATCAAGAGCACAGAAGGAACCAGGAATTGACACAGAGGCTTTAGCCAAAGAAAAATGTTTCTTTCCATAACTCTAATTTCTTCCTGCCATTAAAAGCTGAGGGACAGCCTGTCCCATCAGCTGCTGAGAGGTTTTCCATCTCCTGTTGATTGATGCATCCACTGACCCCCACCCACCAATGCTCACATAGGTACTACTGCCATTCTGCTTAGGAAAAGTTAAAGGATTTTTCCACTGAAAATACATTCCTGCTCACCAGCAGCAAACAAAGCTAGTTTCCCTTAATCAATTATAATTCAATACATATTTAGTGATGTTTTCAGGGAAGGGAGAAGAGAGAGGGACAGTGTAGTAAAGGATATCCCAAGCTTTTGGGCTTTAAATACAAATAAAGCTCCTTACCTGCCAGCACAGCAGGGACCAGGATGCTGCACAGCATTAGCAGGACCAGGTGAAGGACTCTGTGGTAGGGCATGGCTTCCCTCAGGAAAAGAGTCAGCAGGAATCCTTAAAACTCTTCAAAGCACAAAACAACTCAGAAATGTCACTGTTGTAACAAAAAACTTGTTCAGTCAGGTAAAAAAAAAAAAGAAAAAGAAAAGAGGAAAAAGAAAAGAGGAAAAAGAAAAGAAAGAGGAAAAAAAAAGAGGAAAAAAAAAGAGGAAAAAAAAAGAGGAAAAAAAAGAGGAAAAAAAGAGAAAAAAAAGAGGGAAAAAAGAGGAAAAAAGAGGAAAAAAGAGGAAAAAAGAGGAAAAAAGAGGAAAAAAGAGGAAAAAAGAGGAAAAAAGAGGAAAAAAGAGGAAAAAAGAGAAAAAAAGAGAAAAAAGAAAAAAAGAGAAAAAAAGAGAAAAAAAGAGAAAAAAGAGAAAAAAGAGAAAAAAGAGAAAAAAGAGAAAAAAGAGAAAAAAGAGAAAAAAGAGAAAAAAGAGAAAAAAGAGAAAAAAGAGAAAAAAGAGAAAAAAGAGAAAAAAGAGAAAAAAGAGAAAAAAGAGAAAAAAGAGAAAAAAGAGAAAAAAGAGAAAAAAGAGAAAAAAGAGAAAAAAGAGAAAAAAGAGAAAAAAGAGAAAAAAGAGAAAAAAAGAGAAAAAAAGAGAAAAAAAGAGAAAAAAAGAGAAAAAAAGAGAAAAAAGAAAAGAGAAAAAAGAAAAAAAAGAAAAAAAAGAGAAAAAAAGAGAAAAAAAAAGAGAAAAAAAGAGAAAAAAAAAAGAGAAATAAAAGAGAAAGAAAAAGAGAAAAAAAAAGAAAAAAAAAGAGAAAAAAGTTTGCTAAAGCAACCGTGCAGAGAGAGTGCAAAGCCCAGCAGAGCCTCACTTGCTCTGGCTCCAGGAGCACACCTCCTCCCAAAGGCAGCTCCACCCTCCCAAACTTGTGCCTAAAACCCCATAGGCAGCAAAGCAGAGCCATCAGGACCCTGCCAGGCCACTGCACACACGAGCAGCTGTTGGTGAGCCCTTCCCAGAGGCCATGAAGATGCTCCTGGAATGCCTTCCCTCGGGCAGGCCATCCCAAATCACAGAAAATAACACAGGAGCCATTGGGGCAGCTCAGCCTGAGACCAAGCAGCCCATTCGAGGGCTCTGCTCTCCCTCACTGTGCAGGGTGGGGAGAGCAAAGAACAAGGGCCTTAATCTTCCGAAGTTAAAATACTCTGACACGGAGCCAGAGCAGCTCCATCGCATCCTTGTTCCTGGGTGGAATACTTACAGAGCTAGCCTGGGAGCCATGGGTGGTCTCAGAACTGCTGTCAAGTGCTCCAGGAGAGTTGCCTTTGGCAGGCAATGGCATCCTCCTCAAATCCCAACTGCTCAGGCACCACCTCCTCCTACCAGCCTCTGCCACTCTGTCCCTGCCTGCCTCGGGGGCTCATGGCAGTTCACAACATAGAAAACCCAGGTTTGTTTCAAATCACATTTGCAGCAACAAAGAAAGGGGAAAGGTGCATAAAAAGGGGAACACTCCAGCTGATTGTAACAGAAGGAATTTCATGAGTGTTTTGGAGCTGATATGATGATGAATACTTCATGGTTTCCCATCATGTAATGAACACAAACAGCTCCAATGTCAGTTCTTTATGCTCTGAAAGTATGACACAAGTAGTTTTGTCTTAAATTTCAGATTCAGATTTTTCTGCAGCACTCGCTTTGTTTCTTGGAGTCCCTATTCTCCCCATCCCTACTGATCCAAATTACTTGCTACATTAAAAGGGCCCTGTTTGTCACAGGAGGTGACAAGGCAATCACCTGGGCACACAATCTGTACATGCCACCACCTTACCTTAGTACTAAACACAGAAACCAGAGTATTTCAGCATTAAGAACAGTATTTCTTCCCCACTGAGCCATTATCTACAAATTCTCAGGAGCCAAGTGAAGTCCTCAAGGTCTGACAAATTATTGCATATTTTCCCTGCTTGCGTTTCTGCATTTTCATTTAGCAATAGAAGAGCTGTTCCTTTCCTGCTTCCCAGCAGAGCTCCAAACTAACAGGCTTTTGTTACTTGTAACATAGTGTAGAGCAGTCCAAAATTAGCTTGTAGAAATTAGATCATACCAGTAAAAAAACAGAAAGCACTTATGAACCACACACCTTATATGCTAAAAAGAGAAGATATTAAAACAGTCAGGTTATCAGCCTAAACACAAACTGTTCTCTCAGACATCAGACATTGTGCAAGGCTACTGTGTAAGTTAGGCCTTAGCATACTTATTTTCCATGGTCATGCGAATGGCAGGACATTTACCATTACCTTTACTGGGATTTTCCACACAAAAACAAGTAGAAAAAAAGGAAAATAACTCTAAAAAGAGAAACCTACAAGGTATCCCTGTGGACTTCAGGATGAGGGGAGAAATAAAACCTCTTATTTAGGGCAGTGCACTGAAGTGCATGGGGTGGGCACAGACTGGCAAAGAAGGCTCTGTGGCCAAGTGTTTGTGTTAAGAGCAAACCAGCCATGGCTTGATCTCCCCTGCATAAACAGCACCAGCATGAATGCACACGTTTCTCTACAGACAGTGGAGGAAAATTAAAGCTTTCTTGTTAGAAATTTCCAATATCAACTTACTGGTGTTTATTTGAACTCTAAAATTATGAAGTAGAAAAACCAACCAGTATTCCTCACCAGGGAAGAAATAAAGCAGCAGCTGCCGTTCCACATCCTGTGTATTTGCTTGTTGATTCTTGATGAAAACTGATGCAAGTCAAGTTTAGGTGAATTTTAGCACCAGGAATTATCTCAATACTCAGCTTTGACAAAAGCAAGCAGAAAGTTTTCTCTCAGATATAATACAACCAGGTTTTATTTCTCTCTTTTTTTCCCCCCCACACTGGCAAAAGTTCAGAGGGAGTTTAAAGTTTTGTAAACATTTTAACTACCCCTCTTCCCCCTTTTATGAATTTACAAAGCAAAGGAGACAGGGAGACCAGATTTGCAACAGTTCCAAGTCTCTCCATGCTATTGGATCCAAAAACTATATACAAGTCTGCAGCAGTCTCTGTATAGTTACTGTACATGTTTGGGGACGGGGGAAGAGAGAGGAGGAGGAGGGGAAGGTGACCCCAAAAAATGAATAAACCAAACAAAATAAAATCCAAAGCCAAACTGCTCTTGAGCAACTCAAACTGTTTTCTTTAGGCAGTGATGACAGAATAACAGACACCTTTATACAACTCCACCAAAACTGCAGCATATCTCCCTTCGCAGGTTACACCCCTCTGGGGATGGGAGATGGGACCAGGGGGGTTCAAACTAAGTGCATTTGGCAGTTTTCCTTCTCTGTCGTTTGTGGTGTGTGTGTGGGGGTGGGTGGTTACGTGGAGCAGGGAAGGTGGTGTTAATCTTTTGGTGAGAGAGGAAGGTTATGACTCCATAAACACTTAGAGGTTATGGATCCCAGTGAAGGTGCATGAAGTACTTTTAAGGTGTAGAAGATAAGCAGGGCCATCATTGCACAAAGCTTCGTCCTCCAGTGTCTCTCTCCATGACGAAAGGGCATCTCTGCTTGATACCTAAGCACTGCTTCAAGTGACAACCAGCTGAGGCTGCTGGCACGTCTCTGAAAGCCAGGGTCCACCCTCTCCAGAGACTACAGATCCACACTGTAAAGATCCCACTGTCTCTTAAACGAGACAAATTTGCAGGAAAAGAGCTCAAAATAAACTGGTCCTAACCCTCTGAAGGTAGCACTTAAGGGGAAAATTCAGCCTGAAAGAAGAGATGCCACCCCCCTTTTTCCAGAGCAGAAGTCCCCACTTGTCCAGGAAGGCTGGAGAATGCCGATGACAGGAACTCCACCAGCTTCAGCATCACCACCTAATGAAGACAGACTTGAACTTTCCCTCCAAAAATTATGTGCTGAGAAGAGCTGGCAGGGGGTGTGCAACTTCAAACCAACCCAAGCTAATCTGTGCCCACTACCGCCCCTCTCCTGTTGCCAGTTTCTAAGGGTAGCTTATGAATGCAGCTCCTGGCCAGGAGAGCACCTCTTGCCCTGATGGAGCAGCCAAGTCAGTATCTGTGTGGCATTTTGGTTTTGACCAACATCTGTTAACCACAAACTCTCTCTCAATCTCTCTCTCTCTCTCTCCATATGACTGCACATGTTGGATGTGGTAAGAGTAACCAGGAGAAGGAAGCAATGCTTTGCAGAATCCCAATTGATTTTTTTTCCAGGTATGTCAGCAGAATGAATCACAGCACAGTGAAAGCTTGCTGCCCAATTCAGCCTTGCTGGGAAACAAAGCCTAACTCCCACCCTCCCGGGACTCTGAACCAAGTCCACTTGAGTGGGCTGACAGTAGGAACAACGCCTGTGCAGTCCTGGGCAGAAAGGGTTTGCTGGGGCCAGAGAAAGCAGCCTGAGATGATTGATCCTGTGATTCACTGCGAGGCAAAGAACAACACAAGGTGGAGAGTACGATGTCCAAACGGAGAATCCATGGTTAACAGATGCAGGAAAAGCCAGTTGATTTGCACATGCTCAGTAGTCTTCCAAAGTCTCTATTTCTCCCATATTGAGCCGCTCTGATGAAGCATTCACTGAAAACCCTGTGAACCAAGAAGGACCGGTTAAAAATCTGGCTGTGGCAAAGTGTACTTGATACAAAACATCTGTTATGTGCAGTACCACGTGTAAGAGAAAGTAAGAATCTAGGGGTAGCTCAGGAAGGCTACAGATGCAGTCACACAAACTGATTTTTTCCTGAATAAACTGAAGATAATCAACTGTATATCTAGACAAGCATCACTTAGTCTTTAAAACCAGATCAGAAGACTGTTTTCAAGTTCCATTTAAAAAATGTCACCTGCAGAGCCAGTACGAGACACATCCATACATGGTGGCAACATGGCTCTGTAACATCTTGCAGGCTTAAGTCAACTGGCTCTTGGAAGTGGCTGTCAGCACCATATTTACATGGTCTGAGAAGCAGAAATGGGCATTCTGAGAACTTGGAATCCACATGTGGAATCTTGTTCTCATGCTTCAGGAGTTGTGAGCAATTTCACCCTTTAAAGTCTCACTGCATGTACCTATGAAATTTAGTACCAATTACATCAATTTCCATGCTTTTTTTACAAACTTCAATCTCATGAGTACAACATGAAAACGTACAAAGTTACCCAGGGCCATGCAGGTGGCTAGAGATGCACCCAAACTTCTACACAACTTTTTAGCCGTATGTGCTGAGGTTACGATGTACATGAGAAAAGTGTGAGAGTGAAAACACTTTCAACAAGGAAACAAACCAAATAAATCAAATGCAGCTTTCTTACTGAAATCCCCTTTTTAGAGCTCCATGAACCCCATATGGAGTATAAGAACAGGGAGAGTTTCCCTGTGTAAGGCTACTAAACACAAAGTTGACAATTCAGTGTCTTGAGAGTGCTACATTGGTTTGCTCTGTGCTAGACAACCAACTGCCTCACACTTCTAGGGGTAAGAAATGCTCTGTAGGCATAGGAAAATTGTTCTGGCTCCCTCATGTGGCAGTGTGGCCTAAAAGCATCTGAAATTACTTTGTAAAAGAGCAAGTGTATATGTTTTAAAAAGCTGCATGGGCTACTTCCTTTACAGTTGGAACTTATAAGTTGTATTTAGTGATTTCTTCTTCACATTACACCAGCTGGTTTGTTAATATATTCAACTGAGTACCCAGATCAGACTCAGTGGATGGGCACCTTGGGGTGGCCTAAGTCAGGATTCCACTGAGAAGTTCCATACACACCAGTGCAGAAATCACTGATGTAGTTGAAGTATTGGCTTTGGTGAGACCACAAATAGAAGACAGACAAAAACCAAAGGCAGGGTTCTGCTAGTGCCTTAAAAAAGCAGTGACTTCAGGTGGACAATACCTATCTGCTCTACAGCAACTGGGCTCAGCAGAAGCAGCACAACAAAGCCTGGCCCAGTGCAGTGCCCTGGTTTCCTCCCTGTCACACAGGGGACAAACGCAGATACATTTATTTCACACGAACACAACAGTGACCTGTCACCCCACAGTGTCCATGCACTCACACAATGGTCCTGTACCTTAAAAGCTACTTCAAAGAAACTTTTCCATTCCATCAGTGCTACAGGGGATGGTTAAAACTAGCCTCATGTAAAAATTAAGACACAGAACATAATAAATAAATAAAGGACTACTAATGATGTCATCATCTCCACAGTCTCCAGCTGAAAATCTGTGATCACTTCAAACTTTGCTGTCTTTTCTGACTAGGGTAGTGGTTAGCTCCTGGAAAAATTTGGCAAGGCCAAGGCAACCTCAGAAAGCTGCTCCTCAAAAAAGAAAGGAAAAAATGTTTTTCTTCAAAGAATGAATCAGCATTAAAGCAATAAATAGCCATAAGTCAGCTCAAAAGAGGAAAGGGAATTTAACTGACATCCCTGAACTACTTAGAGGTTTCCAGGTAATAACCCAGGTATCGAAGAGGCCATTACATAAGGGAAAGTTTGACAAAATTTTTCATAAGTACAGAATTTTTCAAATCATTAAATAAATAATACTATTAAAAATATTCTAAAGACATTCCAACTTTTCTACTCAAATTCAGTATTACCATTTAAGGTCAATAAGAATCCTCTAAATTCCTCAAAGCAAACCACCACTGCCCAATTAAACATCAATTTTTAAAAACTGAAACAGACCTAATAAGCTGGGATCTGCTCGAACCATTTTCTGTTTCTTCTTTTTCTTCCCACTCTGCACAGCCTCAAAGTTGGACTGCTGGTTGTTGCTCTGATTGGTCTGAAAGACTGAATGTAGCGAACTGTGGTTCATCCCCCACACTGAATCCTAGAGAACAAATTAAGGAGAAGATTACAGAGCACAGTGAAGTCTGGCTTATTTATACACAAAATATTCAGAGAGCCCAAAACCCTTCCTATATCCACGTGATGTATCCACCTCATCTTCCCACAGCATTTCCCAGATCACCATGCAAAAACACTCTTTGACCTACAGTTGGCCTCAACTGTTAAGTTACAAAGGAAGCTTGATCCTGTGGTAAAACCTGGAAAGCAGTTTTATTGTCTGCATTGGCCAGGATGCTGATGAATCCAGCAGGGGTGCTGACGCTCCAGCCTCACAGTCCCCCAGGAAGAGCAGAGGCACCTTTACCTGCTGTTGCTGCTGTTGCCGCTGCTGACTGGCTTTCTGTTTGGCACGGCGCTCGAGGAACTGCTTGGCAAACTCCTTGGCCTCAGGAGTATCTCCAAGGTAGGCTCGGATGTAGTCATGGACCTCATAGGGAGACTCCACTTCCTTCAGGAAAGAAACAAACGTGGGAACTGCAAGAAGAAGGCAGACCATGAGCAAGTGCATGTTGACAGCAAACACACACATACAGTTAACATCAATGTCAGATTTCTGTGTCAAATATTTGCTGGTCTAGTTCTCTGCAATAAAGCCCCATCATGCAATGCAGAATGAAACTAGATCCTCATCAATCTGCCTAATAATGCTTCCATGACTACCAGAAATACTCAGGAGGGCTCTGGCTGACAGACTCCAGAACTTTTTCAAATCCCACTGATTTGCTATAGTTAGGACAATGAAAACCTAAAACGCAGTCAGTTCTTCTGGGTGCCATTTAATGATGTTCTTTTGCTAAGTGCATTGGAAACATTGGTTTGATGTCATTAAAATCCCTCAGAACTACTCTGGTCAGGAAACAGAATAGATATTGTTCCCCCCATTCCTTTCC